CTCTCTATCTCTCTCTCTCTCTCTCTCTCTCTTTCTCTCTCTCTCTCTCTCTCCCCCCCCTCCCCATGTTCTCTAAACTTCTCGTTCCATTCGATAAAAATACAGCTTGTGAAATTAGAGAGCACTGGTCAACTGGAGGGAAAGAGAAGGAAAATCCTCACAACAAAAACCGTTCCAGTGTTATTTCACTCTTACGGCCATGTTGTCTCAAACCTATGGAGAAGGAAACAACGGAGTTTGATTTATGTTTGACTACAGTACCGTCGGTCTTACAAACGAGACTTTTACTAATGTTCGGAGCTGGGGAAGGGTTTTTAATGAGTGAAGGTTCCATGTGAGTGCATATTGTTATTGATTCGACTCCCGGGCTCCCTGCCCGCCATTGAGTCCAACAAGGAGACACATTGCTGGGATAAGCAGAGCTGTGCAAGGGATACCCTGGAGTTTTACTCTCAACGAGAGTGTACATGACCCTCCCGTCAAGATTGACCCAGCAGACGGGGCACTGGCTTTATCTATATTCCTCCATCCCACGGGGGAAAGGACAAAGTTTAATCACGCATTAATATTATATGTACCTATAAAAAGGTATCACTTCCAGAGTGTTAGAAAATATGAAAGAAAGAACATTGATTTGTCATGTATAGATACCAATAAAAATGTAGCTCCTGTGGTAAAACATTTTAAAAAGTTGTTGGTTGGTGCAACTATGCATGCAAAAAAACTTATACAGATTATAGCCAATATTGAGAGTGTAATGACCAACCGAACTAGTAAGTTAGAACAGTAAAAGGACAAAGAAGTAAAGATCTTTCGAGCTTTTCAGTTTTTTCGTAAGAATTTTACGGCACTTGCAACTTAATAAGGTTATATAAATGCTGAAGAATAGATGTGTTACAAGAGAGAAACATGCACAAAAAAGACGAAGGAGAGATAAGGACGATATATGTTTGATAGGGAAAAAAGAGCAAACCACACCAGACCACCAGCCAACCACCTACGACAAAACCCTTGACGTAATAATAATAATTAAACTAACAAGATATGTCATAAAACACATATACAAAGAAAGTTAGAATGGTTTAGGACAGACATAGATACCTACAAAAAGGTAGCACCTGTGATAAAACAAAATAAGAGGTTGGTTGCTGCAACTAGGCATGCACAAAAGCTAATAGATTCTAACCAATACTGAGAATGTAACGACAAACAGCACAAATTGCTCAGAAACAGTAGCAGGACAAAGAAGTAAAGACGCTTCCAGCTTATTAGAACAGATGAAAGTAAAAATATTGGGAGTTTTTTATGGTAAGTGTTTTACGGCGCTCGCAATTGTATAAGGTCATATGAGCGCGCGGGACACAAAGATATAAAGATGCTTCCAATATTTTTACGACACATTTAGGTTTGGATAGAGTCTATCCTCGCAAAAATACCACTTGCAAAATGCTAATACCTGTTGTAAAACACAATTGTGTTTTTAGTTGTTGCAATACGGCATGCATAAAAACTGAAAGATTAACACAACCGACCGCACAAGTTTGTCAAAACAGTAGGTGCACAAAAGAAGTAAAGGTGTTTCCACCTTTTCAAAACACATTCAGTTTTGAATAGAGTTTAGCCTGTTTATGAAGCCTATAAGATGCATCACCTGCGGTAAAACTAAAATACAATGATGTGTATGTTGTTACATCTAGGCAGACATAAAAACGAAAATTATATAATCGATGCTGAGAGTGTAACGATCGACGGCTCAAGTTTGTCATAACAGTAGCTGCATAAAGAAATAAAGAGGTTTCCAAGTTTTTAGAATACATTTAGGTTTGTGTAGATTTTAGTTTGTTTAGGAAGCCTATAAGATGCCTTACATTTAAGGTAAAACACAATGATGTGTTTGTTGTTATAATTAGGGCAGCATAAAAGCTGAAAGATTATAACCAGTACTAAGAGTGTAACGACCAACAGTACAGGTTTGTCAAAACAATAGGTGCACAAAGAAATATAGTTGCTTCCAGCTTTTCAGAATACATTTAGGTCTGGATAGAACTTAGCCTGGCAAAGATGCCTGTAACATGCCAGTACTTGTGGTAAAACACGATATTGTGTTTGTTGGTATAATTAGGAATGCACAAACACTGATGGATTATAACTTATACTATGAATTTAACGAACGACCGTATAAGTTTGTCAAAACGATAAGTGCACAAAGAAATAACTACATTTGTGTCACGACTTGGTGGAATAGGGTGCTCGTGAATTTTTGGTCACGTCGAGTTATGGTATTAGTTTTTAGCTTGTTCAGTTGTCTTGCATATTGTGAAAAGAATATTCATATATCTTGAATAGAGGTCCAGATATTTGCAATTGAGGAAGGTGGGTGCGCCTGGTGTTAGAGATACATTTTATTGAGAAACTTTAATGGCCTCCAAAGTTTTGTGACTTCCAAATTTGAGTATCCTTGAAAACTGCAAATTTCCATTTAATTTTTCTGTATCTTTGATGAATGTTTTTCGGTAAAATCCTCACAGACTTGTATCTCTAAATGGTCATAAAGCATTCAGCCAAAAGGGAAAAAAGTCCAACGCCCCCCCCCTAAAAACCCCAATCAACAACAAACAACAACAACAACAACCAAGAACAAACAAAATAACAAACGAACATACAAATAAAGATACAAAGAAATAAACAAACATACAAAGAAAAGGAAACAAAACAAAACTGTCGATTTCTTTTATTTCATAATCTTGACGAGCGCATGACTTTATTATGATAGAGTTAACTTCACAACTCCGATTGTGGGCTATAGGGCAAAAAAGTTCAGAATCAAGAGCGCGAGTTTACACTTTTGCCCATGCACTTTATTTGCTCTTTACTTGAACTAACTAAAGACATGCCTTTTTTTCTCTCTGTAAAACCAGGTCAAAAATCGTAAAAGTTGCGGCGACCTTTCCAAGTCTGGCTCGAACAGTATTGTGAATTAATGCCGGGGCAGGCTCGCTCGGATATATACTTAGGCTTTTTAACTTCTCTTGCTTGCAAGAGTCGCAGTTACCAGCACGCTTGCACGCACGCACATCGCCAAACACATAATTTACTCTCTCTCTGGGTGTCTCTCTCTCTCTCTCTCTCTCTCTGTCTCTCTCTCTGTCTCTGTCTCTGTCTCTCTCTCTCTCTCTCTCTCTCTCTCTCTCTCTCTCTCACACACACACACACACACACACACACACACACACACACACACATACACGCACATACATATTTCAAAATATAAATAATATAAACACACACGCATCAACACACACTCACACAAACACACACATACACACACACACACACACACACACACACACACACACACACACACACACACACACACACACACATAAAATGATGTCCCTGTGACTGAGCTTTAGCGAAGAAGAGCAGGAATTAGTTATCTTCTCTGTCTCTTTAACTACTGGAACGAGTGAAGACAGTCTGAAACAAATTTGTGTCCAACTCTATGGTTTGTAGTCTTACAGCAGTTATTTTATACGTTTCCTACAAACATGTACTACATAGATGTAAGTGTCAAGGTCTACGGTTTAGTTCAAGAAAAAGAAATCTTTGTTAAATTCCGTGCTAATTTTTTTTTAGCTAGATCTAATTGGATTGAACAAAGAGCTTTGTTCATTATCTCTATCTTTGACTTTATAGATTTAGCCATAGTGAGTTGAATTCTTTGAAAGATGTCCACATAAACATTATTTGACGGAAATGGACACCACGAGGTTTTTCCATTGACACTTTCAAGCGTAAAAAAGATTCCCTTATAGTCTGAACCCACCATAACGCGCATGACGACTTGGCATAATGTGAATGTCGGTTCGGCATAATGCGAATGTCGGTCAGTAGAGTAAGACCGATGATTGCGGTAAAGCAAGGCATCAGCGCATTTATATATATTATCTTCATTGTGACACGGAAATATAATATTGTTCAATTCCCTGCAGTCGGTAAGTAGATGGCTTATTGTAATACTAGAGTGGATGGGTTACGCTCCCATCAGTTAAATGTGAGCCAACGCGGTGGAATCAGGCTCTCGTCAATTTTTGGGCTTGTAGAGTTATTGGTATCATCTTAAAGCTTGTTCACCTGTCTTTATTTGGATGAAAAAATATCCATTTATCTTGAATACAAGTCGAGATATTTGCGAAAGAAGGAGGTGGGGGTCACTTGTTTTCAGAGGTAAAATTAGAGAGAAAATGGCCGCCAAAAATTAGTTATTTCCTTAGCTTAAAAGTCCGTGGTAACTGAAAATTTACATTTTTTGTACCTTTAATCAACGTTTTTCTGAAAAATCCACACAGAAATGAGTTCTTTAATGGGCATGAAAGGTGTTGAGCCAAAAAACAAAAATATAATAAATTTCACAAACCTGCGGAAAAATGCAAGTTTCTTCACTTTGATCATTTTGACGAGAGCCTGATTCCACCACGCTGCCTCACAAATTAAGATCATTTCGGAGGCGGGCTACTTCGAGCCTGATAGTCACCCCAATCCAGGCTGTGAGGGGAAACAACGTTCCACCAACAATTAATAAATAAAAAATCCGAAGATACTCGGCAATATAACCTAACAGCAACACAACAAACGTTGGTCGGTATACGTGGGTGGGTATTGAGTTCACATATACTCGTACATTTATTGATTTAGTGGGAAAGTATAATAGTGATTTATTTTATTTTTGTGTTCTTCTTGTTTTGTTTTGTTTTATTTACGTCCCGAACAATACACTTCAG